TATCTAGTTCTATCTCATGCTTATATTTACAATGTACATGTACTATGATAGTCTTGTAAATTGGATGCTGTACCGATTCGGGTTCCACACTTCCAGATATCAGTTTGTAACACAAAGCCGCAGGGACAGGACAGGTCAACAATAAGGTTCCATAATGTCCTGCAGGAACCTCCGTCAGCAGCAAGGTCCGACAGGGCCAACGATAACCAATAACCAACGATAACGGATAATCGGAACCGCCATATCAACTGTCGCGGTACCTTTGTCAAATGGTTCGGCTAACTTAAACTGTATAGTTCAAACCCGGTAATTTCCGCTCTTGTCATAATCGGGATTCCAATCTTCGGATTCCTCGCTACCGCTTCTCTTCTTTCCCTTTCATGATATGCATCCTCTACTATGAGTCTACGTCCAAGTCTTCAGCTTGTGTTCATGATCAGCCTCGAGTCGAAAGCACGAGGGAGTGGCTGGCAGGCCCTCTTATCGGCTTCCTCTGTGGATATATATTTCGCAGCGAGGCAGCGATCCAGATAGGCAGATGCCTCCCGGCAGTACTTTGCTGTTTCACTCACCGTGCAGGACTATGCCAAAGTTGTCAAAGCGCCAAAGCGATATTTCACGATACTTGACTTCATGTCGATGCCTATCACAAACTTGACAGACACAAAGCCATGAGCAATTGCTACTATGACAATGATACCAAGGGTCAAGTGGCTTTGTATTTTGCATACGAGGACTGCGCTTCGATACGTCGAGCGTGGTTTATCGATGCATTTGTGCGTTCGCGTGCGGCGTTGCCCTCCTTGACCCGCCAAAGTAGAAAGCATCTGACGAACGCATACCATGCATTCATCATTGACCAGATTAGTGCCTACTCGTACAGCAACGCGCATACCACGCAGTCATACCATTGGCAAGATCAGTGCTTACTCGCACAGAAAACGTGCATACCACGCAGCCATATCATTGGCCAGATCAGTGCTTACTCGCACAGAAAACGCGCATACTGCGCAGTCATATTGTCGACCAGATCAGTGCTTCCCGCACAGAAACGCATATACCATGCAGTCATATCATTGACCAGTGCACTACAGCCGCACTGAATTGCGCATACCACGCAATCATATCATAGACCACGCAGACATACATGATGCGTTGCTCTTGGAGCAAGTCATGGACAAAGCACACGAGGATGACCTTCAAGGAATTTATCGGTGCTTCCGTGCTTGGTGCGGCGTGACTCAAGTCTCCCTGGGCGTTTGAATATTACCAGGACATGGCCCTAACTAGGACATGAACCCCGCGACATGTGATTCACAAGATCGTCGCCATATCCAAAACTCTACCGTGATGCCAAGCTGTAGCTGCACGCTGTCGATCCAACGAGGCTAGCTTCGAGTCGGACTCACTATACCTCGAGTTGTTTCGGGTGTATGTGGGTCTCTGTGTGTACGCACGCGGCGAAGTGGAAGTCTGTTGAAAATATATCCTGCCGAATTTGCTTTCGGTGGCGGAATTTGTAAAAAATTCATCCTTCCGCTGGGAAGAGTAATATCATCGCCGTTCTACGGAACTGGTTGTTGTTCTATAATCTGCATGTGCCTTTTGGAGCCTTCATGGTTATTCTTGGTCGTACGTCATATATGTTTACCGTATCTTGGCGCTTATGATAAGATCTTGCAGTGGCTTGCCGCCTTGACTTTATCTGACGGTTCAATGCGGGGCAGATCCCATGGTTTATGCCACGGTCTGTTATCTTCAACTGGAGCCCTCGGGCCTGTTGAAGATTATCGCATAATTTTTTGCTCATTCCCTTCTTCGTGAAGGGTCCTTGTCTGGATTACGTTTCGTGTAGGTGGATATAAGTTACGTCCTGTAGCAGAAGTTACGTGTCGTAGCCTGTATCCTTTGTACGACGTGACACTCCCTCCCCTTAGCGATGCGGCGCGTTCGTCCCTGACTCTTCCTTTGTCTTCCATTCATAATTATACATGATATTCCATGGCGGTAGGCTGATCCGTTCAACTCACAGACGAATATCTATCTGTCTACACAGTCGGGTACCTTTGTCGAGATGTATCAGAATGTTTCTGGATGAATTAAAATTTAACGTGACAGTGACACCGTATAAGCTTGCTGTCTTCCACAGCGGGCTCAAATACTTGCCCAATTCTTCACCGTTTTCCCTAGTTCTTTTTGTGGGACATGAATGCGTGCGCGTGCCATCATATCATTGTTAAACGGATCAAGCGTTATAATATCTTGCATGTTTTCTCGAGTACTTCAGATCATAGAAGCGCAGTGCGCACAAAAGCGTTTCCGTATTCTCAGATCTATATAATATCAAACTACCTGGCGAGTGACCTGCTGTACCACGTATACCTGCAGGCCGCCTTCGCACGCTTTCTGGATGTTGAATTTTTGAAGTGTCTCATTATCAAATGAAGTAGATATTCAAAATTGCTCTTTAACGTAGACATGTCAATTGTTCTTAGCCTGTTGGGTATTTTATTTTATTTAGTTGTTTTTAATGAGCGTGACAGACAAGGAGTGAAATCAAGGAGAGTCCGAAAATAAAAGAATTTGTTTGCGCTTTCAGGCGCCAATCCAGTCTCTCCATGCCGAGAGCATCATCAGTCCAAATGCTTGCGATTCCGTACTCAGCAATCCTGTTTGATTCCAATATGGAAATGGATCTGGCAAGGGATCCACTATGGGCTGCATGGTACCGAGGTTCGTGACGTTACCCACGACAGCATCTCGTATTTTCGCAGCCACATGCGTGTAGTTCGTGTCGAATTTCCGGGGAAATAGATGTGCAACCCGATATGCTACAGAGGCAAGGGCAGCGGAAGAGGCTGCATCAGGAAAGGACGGACCCCCGGTGATATAGTTCGGGACCAAATTGTCTGATCTCTGTGTCGAGAACATAATGTTAGCCATGAAGGGGGCCAGGAAAGATTCATCCCTACCAGGGAAGCAAACTCGCCGTCCAGAATTTCCTTAATCCATGAAGTAAGATTAGCAATCTGAGATGCCATCTCTGAGGAGTGCTCAGTCTTGTGAATCGTCACGGCAACACGTAGCATGCCAAGTGCTGCCCACGCATTACCTGCGCAATTCGTGCGATTGTAAGTTGCTTATTGCGTTTATGCGGATTCCGAACAACGGGAGCACTCACCAGTTCCCCAGATACCTTCATCTATCCACGTTTTATTATCATCGGAGTAAATATGTCCCCAGAGTTTTCCAGTGGGACCGTCCAGAATCAGGGCATCACGGTACAACCGACATTGATCGTATGCGATCTGGAGGAGTGTTGCGTTGTTGGTGACTGCCCCAAAGTACGCAATAAATGGGAACCCCATGTAGACACCATCTGCCCTGTTCAGTCATGTTGAGCATTTTCAAACATGCCGCAGACAGCAAACATCGAACCAATATTGACGTGAGTCGATACGATGGGAAATAGCTCCAGTAGAGGTGCGAGGAGCTACGTTAAGTATCTAGTAGTCATAGGTCAGTCCGAGGAGCTGGAAGTAAGTACAGAACACACAAAATTCAATTGGGCGTTAGCTGCATTCAGCCAAAAGTTGTGCCGAGATGTATCAGTAAAACTGCCTGCCTAGTTGAATTTTCAATTTTCTGGAACAACAAAGTGGTGTTTACCCAGCAGAACCGCAGAGCCAGCGGAGGCTCCATCTAAAGCAGCACCATCCAGCGCATCGCCGACTTCTTGGCTGAGGCGACCGTCAGGACTTTGTCGTACGACAGCGCTATAAGCCAGTTGCAGGGTTGAAAGAGGGAATTCTCCGTCGGAAACGAATGGAGAAGATCCAAAAACAGAGTACTCTGGATCATCAAATTCGAGAATGGCACCCGCTGCGGTTCCTTGTTCCCAACTAAATATCAGGTTGTCAGCACGATCCAACTGGATTAAGTTATCATACAGTGACTTACCTGGTCCTGATAGAAGCCAGCATGACTGATCGAATGTTGCCTGCCACCCATAGCTTGCTCTGGTACAGTGATGCATCCGAAGAATGAGTTGCATGTGCACCAAGGCATAGAAGGGACCATGCACTGACTGCCAGCTTGGTCTGGCGCATGATGAAGCAATTGGGGTAGAGACGGGGAATGCATTGCGCAAACTCGCTACTTAAGTTGGGTCTCACACCATGACGGAATGAAGCTAAGTTCAAGACTCCGACATGCACGTGTAAACTTACATATACTTAGCGTAACGGCAGCCTGATCTACACATCAATTAGCTTTCAAGTGTCCAGCTCTGCTTTGTGCACCCAAATTTGCAGCCCTCACACTCTTGGACATGACTTGGGATATTCTATGTAGTACTCCAATAGGCATCGTCTATGACTGAGATAGGTCTGCGTTAAAATCTTGTTGGAGTCGAGAGCTTGGGATGGAATGAAGAAAGCACCACCTTTCACACACTGCTAAGGCTGATATAAATAACGCTTTTGAAGCAACAAACCAGGCAACGCTATATATGTGCTATAGGCATGCAAGCAGATACACAGTGTATGGTAGCGTACGCACTGGGGTAAATACTGTTCCAATTGCTTGAGGACAGCTGAAGCTTCAGGCACTTGCGTGAATTATGTGAGGCGTTGATCTAGAAACAACAATTCACGCAAATACCGCTGGAATTTTGGGCGGATATTCTGTGAGTATTCCGAAGTGTAGCCGCGAGTACGTAGGAACTGGCAGGGCGGAGACAGATTTTAACAGTGGTCTCACTATTATCTAGATTCAGCTACCCCATCGTCCACGGCGGAAGGAAAGGCCAGGTCCCGACGTCTCTGCAGACCTGCAAAAAACACTCAACCAGAGCGCTTCGAATCCGCATGCTAAGACATGCAATTACGGGCTGTTTGGAGCGGCTCAGTCTGTAATAATCTGTCATCTGTATACATGACATTGTACATAAGCGTGTACTTTTTCGTGGCGAAAAGACCAGAGCTCGAGCGCCAGAGATGCTAGAGAGTCGGCCACTCTTCAAAAGCGCCTTGACTGAATCGAAAGAAACTGATATTGCCCGAGTCTACAGACGCGATGACTATGTTCTTTTTGCCAGCCTTGAGTGCTGCAAATGGATGCGGCCGTGGTTGAGATGACACAGGCTGTGGCGTCGACGACGGCAACAACCACGAGAAAATATGTCTGAATGTTGATGTGTGGACGGGCGATGCGACTGTTGCAGGGGATGGTTGGACTATCGATGGTGCTCCGCGCTTTCGTGGGAGAGGCGGGGGGATTTCCGGAAGAACGTTGAATAGCTCCGTTAATTCGTACAGAGAGGGCACAAAAGCGGTTCGCGCGCTGTTACGCAAAGTTCAGTTGGCAGGCCTCGAAAATCAATTTGGTCTTACTTGATAACAACGATTTGGAAATCAGGTTGCGGGGGAGCAGTTTTCCGGAAGTTGGTCGAGGGCTTGTACATGTTGTAGAATATCTTGTATGGGGAGGAGGGTGCGACAGGAGTCGCACGACTGGAATAAGGCGCAACTGAGTGACCTGCAGGTATGACTCGCAGAGACTTGAAGACCTTGCCTAGACAAAACTCGTTAATGACGGGCTCGAGCGGAGTAGAGTGGTCCCAACCATATGATTTATCGTGATGTATCCACCGACTTATCCTGAGCGGTCTCCACCAATTAAACGACCCCCTCCAAAATCTCAAAACACTCGTCGTAAACAGCGAAAAAATTGATGATAATCTTTGGTAGAATGACAGAGGTGCTCCGTCACTCCCTAGGCGAGGTGGGGGTACTGGATAACTAGGGCTGGGTGGATCTGCGCGGGTGATGACATAGCCCAAGCGCCTCAAGTATGCAAAGACCTATGAGCGATATTGAGTATTGTTGATGAAAATTTTGTGGTTTCAATCACCTGATATTTTTCGAGCGTCAGGTCTTCCTTCCCAATTATTTCTGCAAAAGCCTGTTGAACAGACATCGGAGCACCTTCAATGTCATCCAAGCCAGTCAAATCCGTTTGAATATCCATCCAACAGAACAGAGCGCCCCTTTCAATTAGATAAAGCGCCTCTTCGGGCAGTAACTCTAGTCTCTTCTGCAGCTTCGTTGAACCGTTATCAATTGATGTGGACCGTGCTGCTGAATGGCCCATGACAGAAAAGTGAATACCTCTGGCAATGGTGACATGAACGCGAGATATTTGCGGGCACCAGATGCCATAGCTGGCAGATTTACTATACGGTGATTAATGTTGATTCACGCAACTCAAACACAAAAATACCTAGATATGGCGCGATCAGCTTTGAGGGCGTCAAACATCGCAGCGCGTGCTCGGTCCAACACATGGACTTGAAGACCTGAACCCCCTCCTGCAGCGGGCTCAAAATCTTTCTCTCCGCGTTTTGGGATTACCGGACGCATGGCACCAATCTTTCTGCTGCGCTTAGTATAATGTATATGCTTACGATGCTCACGGCTCACGGTAGCTTTGTCCAATCCAGACCTCCATCTTCACTCCCTGAAGATTCTTCTTCAGCTGGATCCAAAGTTGATATCACAGGCTGAGGTCGCGGCCTTTCTAGTGCATCATCCATGTCAGCGATTTGCAGGAGTTTAGTGAACTAAAAATCGTCAGTGTTTGAAGTTGCAAGTACTATGTAGTCATCATGATGAAATAGAAAGCACTATAATTACGTAATTTTTGGGCAGTCACAAAAATGTTTGTGTGAAACTTTTGGTGAAAGAGCTTCGGAGTGGACCGCAATCATGGCCGCAGAACGGAAACCGGCATTCTTCCAGTCTCTCGCTGTGCGCAAAGTTCCTTGCAAGACGAGAATATGTTCTGTGCCAACGTGACATCCCTCATAGGCTGGTGGATTGGCGGGAACAGCGGTCGACCTACTTTTCTTCCCGATAGACACCGTCAAGACGCGTCTGCAGTCTGCACAGGGATTCGTCAAGGCCGGCGGCTTTCGCGGGATTTACAAAGGTGTGGGCAGTGTGGTTGTTGGAAGCGCCCCAGGAGGTATGCATGGAGTATGTTGTCAGGTAATGGTTATGCTGACGCGGATATTACAGCTGCTGCATTCTTCTCTACATATGAAGCCATGAAGCACTCGATTCCTCTTCATGGCCAACTTGCGCCTGTAAACCATATGTTATCTGCGTCTGTGGCAGAAGTGGCAAGTTCTTCATTTGCAAAATTTATCTTCCGCAAATGAATCTTTTCCTGCTCAGGCTGCTTGTTTGATACGTGTTCCTACAGAAGTCATCAAGACCAGGACGCAAACATCGATGTATGGTGCTTCGGCATCTTCGTTTAAAGCCGCAACGCTGGTCCTGCAACATGACGGCATTCGAGGGTTCTATCGTGGTTTTTTGACTACTATCATGCGCGAGGTAAACAAATGGATTCTCACACCCTATATGAATATTCAACTGATCTAGTGCTTGTATTTCCAAGATACCCTTTACATCACTCCAATTCCCGCTATATGAGTTTCTCAAATATCGATTATCAACACATCTGGACCGAAAACCCCTATATGCACACGAGGCTGCTGTCTGTGGGAGCATAGCTGGGGGGACTGCAGCAGCGCTAACAACGCCGCTCGATGTCCTTAAAACACGCGTCATGCTCGATCTTAGAGTAGGTCTCTGTTATGAATCTCGATGGCATATCTAAGGCATATCCAGGACCCTTCGAAGCAGCAAGTGCCAAGTCTTCCTATGCGACTTCGGCAAATCTACGTGCAAGAGGGCACAAAGGCTCTTTTTGCAGGTGTAGTCCCGAGAACGATGTGGATATCTGCAGGAGGAGCTGTATTCCTCGGCGTGTATGAATGGGCCGTTCATGGTTTTATGAGCGCCTAAGCGAGATGATTAATTGCGCCTACTCGTTCACCATATCATTTGTTTACAACGGACAACAAGATCAATAGCAATAGACTAGAGTCAGCTTTGCTGTTTTATGCTACTCAAAATACCCAGTGCCCAACTTTTGTCGCCGTAAAGCTTCTCGGCGAAGAAATTGCCTAAAACATCCTGCAACTGTCCAATAGTCACAGTATCCCCATCATCTGTTGCATCCAATGACTCAGGCATGTCTGATGCAGGATGCAGAACATGCAAAGCGGTCTGTTGGATACTCAACACGCATGATTACGCAGAATAAAAGAAATACTGACCATAACGGAATCGACGAGGGGGCCAGTCTCCTCTGGTGCGCATTCACTTCCCACAACTTTCACTCCACCACCCTCCACGAGTCCCTTCCTCACCGCCTCCTTTCCGATCCCCACCAAGCCGCGGATGGCACCTTCCCGCGTTCCCTTGGATTTGTCTGATGAAATAAGAGCAACGAGGAGTGTTTTCATAATTCGTGGTGAAAGGGATGGATAAGTCGTAGAGTGTTGGGTAAGTAGACGGGATAGCGTCTGAGCAGCGGACGTGCGCAAGTGGGTGGCATGTGATGGTGGAAGCGTGGAATGGAGAAGAGTTGAAAGGATAGCTGGTAATAATTGGTGGAGCTGTACAATATCATTTTACTGAACTGTGTCGGGTTTGGAGCATCACTCACATAAGGCTCGATGAATAGCGTATTGTTCTCGAGAATAGCGCTGACGACATCCAATAAAACCTCCAACGATCGACCATCTGCTTCAGTTTGAGCACCCTCCTTTAGCGCAGTCACAACGCCCTCTCCAACCCAGCGGATAAGGTAAGGCAAGAGCGCTTGTAATCCTGCATCATTGCGCAAACTCGCAAGAGCCGCTGTCCGCTTGGTAGAGTCGGTGGGTGGTAACAATGACGCCGTAAGCCGGGTATAATACAGCTGTAGTTCTCGTGATAGCACTTGTTTGACTAGCTGTTGCTGTTGCTGTTGCTGCTTCTTGACAGTAGATCGGCTTTCTGATGGCGGGGTCAATGGGAATGCGCCGTTTGCTTGGGGTGGTGACTTTGTGATTTCTTGATCGACGTCCTTCGGTATTGCTGGCGGATTTTCAGGAATGAGAGGCTGGACACCTTCAACTGCAAGCCAGTGAGCGGTCCAGCTGACTCCTTTCGGCAGTGTGATTTTCTCCTCTCGAAGCACACGGTCAAAGTCGATCTCTTCGTCATCCACGAAGTAGACAGGGCCTACATTAGCGGCGTTCGGAAATGGCAGAGCGCGTCTGAATACAGGGGGATTGTGTGGATTGTGACCATAAAGAGGTTCGATGTTCAAAACTCGAAGGGCCTGGTCAATGTCTGAAGTCGTGATCGTGGTTCGTCGGGCATGGCGCATGAATCGCGAAGCTTCCTGATATTTCCTTAGCTTTTGACAGGTGCATTTAGACGTAAATAACGCACCTCTATGACTTGATGAATGCGATACTCGACATCACTAGCGAGTGAGGATGCTACTGTTTCGGATAAGTTGGCGATGCCCAGCGACTCGGCGACGTCCTGCAAATGTCGGCTTCATCTCGTCGCATAAACTGACACTGTTGTGATGCGTACTCTGACCGAGTCTGACTTGTATATCCCTGTTTGATGTGTCTGAGTAGCTTTCGCTTTCGGTTTGCTCATCGTGATATTGGTGCCAGTACTCTCGAGTCTCCAGGAGTCCAGGACGCTTCGATAATTGCTGAGTCACGTGCATTCAAGCCTTTTAGTTCAAATTCAAACCTCACTTCAGCTTTGCAGTACACGCATCATTATGCATAGACCTTTCTAGTGTCCTGACTGGCAGAACACTAGCCCAACGATGATAGTTGTCGAGTAATGTTTACTCAAGGACTACCAACGTTGGGCTCAGTGACTTCTACTTCTCTTCCACCAAATTTAATCACGTCGACCAACAGCGGCTTTGTCATCGGTGGTGTCTTGGACACTGCCGCACTTGCCGATGGGCCTCTGATCTGAAGACTGACCCCAAGGTGTCCAAATCCCTGACTTTCTGCTGTTCTGCTGGGTCACGTGCACTTCGAGTCCTTGCCACGGCCACTGCAATGACTGCATGTCCCAGCACCCAGATCTCAGACCAGAATCAACGATGCCAGAAAACCAATGCAACGTTGACGGTCCTTTGACCTTTACTTATAAAGAGGTCGACGGAATCAGCGTCCTGCTCGACGTCTATCTTCCACCAGACGACGTCGACCAACAGTTCACCGGACAGGCGATTCAGTATCACCCAGCAGTCGTTTACTTCCACGGAGGAGGGCTCACTATAGGAAATAGACGAAGCTGGTTCCCTACTTGGCTGAAAAGTCAGTTTTAGCCTTGCTCCAAGTCCAACCTTTCCCTCATGCTGACCACAATAACACCTATGTACTAATTCGACTAAGACCGGTTGTCTGCACGCGGTATCATATTCATCAGTGCAGATTATCGACTTATTCCTCCAGGGACCGGATATGATATACTTGCCGATGCGAAGGACGCCATCGCCTTTGTCGCGGGAGATTTGAATGTTCAGCTTGATCAGGAGCTGGCTGATCTTGGCTCTGGTTCACGTTTCCGCATCGATCCCACGTCGATCGGTGTGGCTGGAAGTAGCTCGGGCGGGTTCTGTGCGTATCTATGCGCTATTTATGCAGTCCCGAAACCGAAAGTGGTTCTCAGTTTATATGGTCTGGGAGGCGATTTACTGGTATGCCTCGTCTTCTCACCTCCAAAAGTCTCTGATCGTATTAATACTACGTACTTCAGACAGACCAATATCTCGCTCCCAAGGCACAATCTTTCCTCCGGGGGCTAGATCCCGCACAGCTCTCAGGATACATACATCCGTTCGACAGTCTCCAAAGCACTTCAGACTCACCACTCGTATACCATCCACAGTCATATCACATCCCTGAAAACCCACGAATGTTAATTCCACGTTTATACCTGCAGCTCGGGGTCGTCTTGGACTATATTACAGGCCAGCATGAACCAAGTCTTAGTGTTACGTTACGCAAGGCTATCCATACCGAGGATCCCTTCGACGAAGCACTCATTTCTGATCACAAGATTATTTTCCCTCAGTTCAACGTCACGTCGGATTGGCCGGCAACATACCTCGTCCATGGAACCAGCGATATGAATGTCCTCCCGCGAGAGTCTCGTAATTTGCATTCCCTGCTCTTGAAGGCTGGTGTAGAAGTTGTATTGGAAGAACTACCAGGTCGAGAGCATTCGTTCGATGATCAGCCAGGCGCAGAGCTGGAACACAAAGGATCATTTGATGACATGGTTCAATTTCTTTATCGCCACCTAACTTAGAATTTATGATGGCACCATAAAATATGTAAAGATACTCGGAGGAAGACATACTACTTACTTGGCGGCAGTGGAGTAATCTTATGAGCTACAGCAGATAGCGGCCAGCGCTGGAAGTATCACGAACGGTTCACGGAGGCTCGTAAGGGGGTGCTGGAGGCCCACGAGGGAATGTAAGAGCATGAACTATAATTAGATGGCGGGGTGGGTCTCAGAGACCAGTTTCCCATAACATAGACACCGGGTCTGAGAGACCCTTATAGGCACCGAGAAGTGCTGCCTTTGATCCTCTCTTGCCTGTTTTGGTGGGCTGCTTATGTCGCTCGAAGTGAATTCCAAACACTTTGAATCCTCGCCAATGATCAACATATATATGAATTGGGCCTCTGAGTCTGACGGTCTCTGACCCCAAGGTGTCTGGCTTTCTGCTGTTCTGCTGGGTCACGTGCACTTCGAGTCCTTGCCACGGCCACTGCAATGACTGCATGTCCCAGCACCCAGATCTCAGACCAGAATCAGCGATGCCAGAAAACCAATGCAACGTTGACGGTCCTTTGACCTTTACTTATAAAGAGGTCGACGGAATCAGCGTCCTGCTCGACGTCTATCTTCCACCAGACGACGTCGACCAACAGTTCACCGGACAGGCGATTCAGTATCACCCAGCAGTCGTCTACTTCCACGGAGGGGGGCTCACTGTAGGGAATAGACGAAGCTGGTTCCCTACTTGGCTGAAAAGTCAGTTTTAGCCTTGCTCCAAGTCCAACCTTTCCCTCATGCTGATCAGTGATCACAATAATACCTATGTACTAATTCGATTCCTAAGGCCGGTTGTCTGCACGCGGTATCATATTCATCAGTGCAGATTATCGTCTTATTCCTCCAGGGACTGGATATGATGTGCTTGCCGATGTGAAGGACGCCATCGCCTTTGTCGCGGGAGATTTGAATGTTCAGCTTGATCAGGAGCTGGCTCATCTTGGCTCTGATTCACGTTTCCGCATCGATCCCACGTCGATCGGTGTAGCTGGAACTAGCTCGGGCGGGTTCTGTGCGTATCTATGTGCTATTTATGCAGTCCCGAAACCGAAAGTAGTTCTCAGCTTATATGGTATGGGGGGCGATTTACTGGTATGCCCCGTTTTCTCACCTCCAAAGTCTCTGATCGTATTAATACTACGTACTTCAGACAGACCAATATCTCGCTCCCAAGGCACAGTCTTTCCTCCGGGGGAGAGAAATGCTAGATCCCGCACAGTTTTCTGAATATATACATCCGTTCGACAGGTCTCCAAAGCACTTCAGGCTCACCACTCGCATACCATCCACAGTCATATCACATCCCAGGATACCCTGCAAACCCACGAATGCTAATATCACGTTTATACCTGCAACTCGGGGTCGCCTTGGACTATATTACAGGCCAGCATGAACCAAGTCTTAGTGTTACGTTACGCAAGGCCATCCATACCGAGGATCCCTTCGACGAGGCACTCATTTCTGATCACAAGATTATTTTTCCTCAGTTCAACGTTACGTCGGATTGGCCGGCAACATACCTCGTCCATGGAACTAGTGACACGGCTGTCCTCCTGCGAGAGTCTCGTAATCTGCATTCCCTGCTCTTGAAGGCTGGCGTAGAAGTCGTATTGGAAGAACTACCAGGTCGAGAGCATTCGTTCGATTATCAACCAGGCGCAGAGCTGGAACACAAAGGATCATTTGATGACATGGTTCAATTTCTTTATCGCCACCTAACTTAGAAACAGTACCTAATTTGATGGATGACTTGGATTGACTAGTGCTGACTCTTAGTCTTGGCGGCTAGATAGATAACACAGCATTGAGTACAGTATTTAATAGGCTTCCTTAGACGTGCTCGTCATCATCACATACGTATTGGTGGTTGAGACGTTTCACCAACGTTTCACAGTTATGGTTTATAAACTTTTCCCTATCACCGAACCGGACGTGGAGAAATACAAAGCACTCCGCTTGACCTCCCTCAAAATCGATCCTGCCTCATTCAGCTCCACATACGAACGCGAGATTGCGTTCACGCCTGAAATCTGGGCACAACGGCTTGCATCACGCTTCAAGCGCACGTTTATCGCGTCCGTGAAGGATGAAGGGGGCATCAGTGAAACATGGGTCGGAATGATCTCGGTACTCGGGCCTTCAGAACTAATACCTGCCACGTTGGAACCACTCGAGAGGGCAGGAGTAGGGGCAGACTGGGATATGTATTTCGTAGCCGGGCTGTGGGTGCACCCGGAGCACAGGGGAAGAAGTCTAGGGACACGTCTGATGAAAGAAGGGCTGGAATGGGTACGGATAAATATGGATCCGAAAAGTGATTCAGAGGGGAAGAGAGATAGAATGATCTTATTACTGGTCGGGAATGATAATGCGAGCGGCGGCGCCCTTCATCAAAAGTTGGGCTTCACAAACTTGACGAGCATGCCCCCAGGGGAAGGAAATAGTTACATGAGTCTGAAGGTTGCATGATGAATAAATGTTGGATATCTTGTCTACAAAGAAACTGTTTGACCGTGTTCATTGAGTAACATCTAAGCTTTCAAAGCGAAGTCCTTGGAGTACTGAGCCCATGGGGAAGTTGGCAACCTGAGCCATCGGGTGTTCGGAGTTCCTAGGGGTAGCTTGCCGAACTCATTTGAGTGTGAGTGACGTTGTGCAGTGATATAGTTTACCAAGGGGAATAAACAGCAATGCTAGAGGAGATTTGATGATAATAGTAGTAACTGTTCGGATCATCTAACTTGGAGCCGAGAAGTCGAATCAACACGTCTTGAGACCTGTTTCCATATCTCCATCACCCTGAATGTCTGCACACTGTACTGGATCGTCCGGCTTCCGCAATTGCTTGTACGCAGCCGGAATAAACCCTGTGATCCGCCGACCTATCACTCTCCAGCTCGAGACCTTGGGTGGGCCCATGACTTTCTCCTCCTTATCTCGTGGTCCAGCAGTATACAAAGACCCAAACACAGATAACAAAACCAAGGAGATCGCAACTGCAACAGGCGTGCGAGTCTCGACATCTGTCTTATTGAAAGTAATCTGGCAAAATGCAATCGAAAACAGAATCAGACTAGCGGGTGGGATGAATACCAGGTATTGATGAGTTAGAGTAAAACAATCTCACCTCCACATCAGCAAGATGTATGGCAGGCTGCAGATAACAGCAATCCTCTCGAGACCATATGGCTCGCGGAAGATCCGCTTCAAGATTGTGATCTACATCATTATGAGCAGTTTCAAGAAGAAATGATGTCAACCCCCTACCGCTCTCGCAGGAGTATCAGCACCCTTTGCACGGTATTGTTTGAAAATAATAAGACCGATGATGATACTTCCGATGCTGCAGATGACGGAACAATATATGACAACCTGCTCTCCTGACCTTGCATCTGCACCGCTTGAATCCACACTTCCAATTGTCAAAAAGCCAATGCTCGTGCTAAGCAGGACAGTTGCCTGATATATAGATGAGCTGTGTAAAACGATGGCGCCTCTGTAAACCGTACCAGCAGATTGGAATCGCGGATGCTGATATCCACCTTATTCACAAACTTCCTCCACCGCGCAAGGGAGAAATTGTCTCGCAAGCTGTGTAATTCTTCTGCGTAGATTTCTGCAGACTTCAGCATTAATGGAGACAAAACTGCCATCAGGATCGAGCGTCGATAAGGTTCCGAATTTGGCTCAGAGTTCTCGATGTCGAAATAGTCGTCATTTTGACCATATGAACTTCGTAACATGCCGGTGTCTGATACATGGGCGAGGACTCAACAGAACAGTTGATACCAGAAAATCAGACACGAACGATATAGCGCCATGAATTTCGCTACAGCATGTTATGGGTCAACGAAGGGAGTCTAAAATATGCAAATTCATACCTATTGTCCAAGCTGAGCGCCCATCCTCGCTCTTGCCCTGAGCTACGTTTCACGCGCTTGAACGTTAACAAATGAGTGGAGTTCTGATAGCCACTTACGCTCGATATTATTCACAAGTTCTAACATGGTTGAAATATTTTCTGCGTCATAGGGCGATGTCGAGAATTTCGAAGTCACGCGATCTGTTCCGAGTTGTCATCGACAGTATCTGACACCAAGCAACGTAAATACCTGCAGATGCTTGAACTAAAATGCTCTTGAGTTCACGGATGACAACCTCTGTGACATCGAGTGTATTCGGAAAGAGTTCGCAATGCTTCCTGTTTCGAAGTCGCACTGCTCAATCATTTGACGAGTTGTCAATTACCCACCAGTACTGTGCTTCAGCGCCTAAAAGACAGTGTGATTCGTACGCATGCTTGAGCATGAACTTGAGCTTACATCTAGAAGATGATTCCACAGGTCCGTCACATTCTTCTGACAAGCAAGCGAGACTAAAATCTTCCAGCCAAAGGACTCGCTTGTGAGTATGAGAAGCAAAATAATATCCGAAGGTGGGTCTCTGGTCTGCACAGACGGAAGACGAGACTAAGTCCAGAACGACAGTCATCTCGGAGTTGGCATCAGGAGGAGCCCTTTCCTTCAAATCGCGCAGTAGCTGGGTGATGACGCTATGTAGGGCGCTCATTTCAGGATTCATATTGCTGCAAACTCCCTGTGTTTTGGGTTGGTACGCAAAGTGACGTGCGTTGTACTCACCATCTCCTTGTGAAAGTAGTAAGAGCCAAAATCCGGATGTCGTATCCTGGTCCAACCGGTGGTGAGTCCAGACAGTCTGCACAATGCATATGGAACATGCTAGATTAGAATAAAGAAATTGTGTCGACCCACGACCTTACTGATCATCCTGAACAGTAGCATTTGGGAGTGCTCTCTGAAGATGAGAGTGATTCACTAGACTGGATTAGAAGGTATCAGTCTCATGGCAGGGTGCCAGCGAATACTGCAACGATTGGTCACTAACGCTGGACTTCTTTTCCTTCGGATAGTGGATGGTGCCAACGGTCGAAACGAGTGTTCAGATAAAGAAGTCATTGACGGTATGGTAGTCCCGGCCGCAATATCGGTCCCAGTGGTAAAGTGATTCAGAGTGCCAAATTCAAAGCTTAGACGACTACGAGCGAGAGTGCTATGCGGGTTTTCGACATGCAGTTTTGATGCGGTTAAAACGTGGATGCTGAGAATGGAAGTGCTGTACACACCGGCTGATCGAGCTCGAGTCGGACCGAGCCTTCTTCGGTCTTTGGATTGCAGTGATCTTAACTTCAACAAGCGCTCCGTTCACCTTCGGACGTTTTCTACTGCGAATTACAATTCTAGCAAGAGATATCTGTAAACTACGTTTGCTGTTGTCTTTTCCTCTTCCCCTCTTGCCAAAAGCGTTCGAACATATGTCTCGCTGACCTCGTACTCTTAAGAACAGGAGTATAGTTAGGAGAGAAATGAGCGATCCCATTGTGGAGTTCAGAAGACAGGCATTGGAAAAGGTGGAGCACAATTGCAACAGGTGGGTGCGAATTGCTTCCGCGGGATCAAACGTTCCGTACGTCCGTCCTTAGTCCATATATTAGATATAACCCGGTAGCCCGGGCCAGTGGAGTGCGTCAAGTCGTGCTCTCAGCTCCACTAGTAGGGGAAGAGCATGGTGCTGCGCTGTACTCACCACACATCGACATTAATTGCTCGAGCTGTCACGGTGCAGCCTGAGGCTGGTGAGTAAAGTTCACCGTGAACTTTGATAATACTCTCCGACGCTGACAAATATTTCACAGATGAATTAATCTAGAGTTCTTCATTGAACGTCACCTCTTGCTCCTGGGTCATCGTAGGACGTGAACGCTGTCAGGCTGGCCATAGCAATGTACGACCAGACGTGTCAATTCCCGGGTACGGATGCCGAGCGACACTGCAAAACCCTCCCGTTTTCCACCACCCAGTTAGTTTCAAATCACGAAGAAAAAATGTACGCGAGGCATAGCTTGAGATCTTGTATCATTGGGTCGTTCTCTCGAGACAGGAGGCGCGTAGTATATGATAGGGACGAAGGGAATTTCACTCTGTGGATGGTCAAAGACATTACTCCTGAGCTGGCAGCACCCATACCTCAAGAGTCAAGAAGGTGACAGTGAAGTTACGCAGGAGGAAGCTCGTCCCGAGTCCTCGTTATTGTCTTGCCTCGATGTTAGTACTCTCACATGTAATCACATGTATTGCATTGCTCATATTTTTGTCATAGGCTGATGCTACGAGAGGCTCAGGTGGATGGGCACTGGACTATGTTTGTGTAATGACCAAACCGTCCCCTAGGCTGTCAGTGAATTGTCACTACTTTGGAAGGCCTTGTACTCTTGCTCAATCGTCCTTCACGCATCCAGCTTTTGATCATGTTGCCTCGGGGATCATCAACACAGCCTCACCACCACCAATTCTCAACTTGATGGCCCTCTTCGCATTCTGTCACGAACTTTACCATAATAGGGTGATCAGAACCGCAAGACATCATTTACAGACTTGGTAAGCATCCCTGTACATAATGTATGCTGCAGCCTCAGCTGACAACCCGCTACTTAATATGCTGTTGTTGACAGGCAAAGATTTCATTGCCAGTGCAGCAATCAATACGTCTCAAACAACACAGTACGTAGAATCTCGTTTCTTTCCCACTTGCTCATTTGCATATATCACGCTAATATCAAAACAACCAGAGTTTTGCATCATCTTCATCGCAATCCTCCGTTGTCTCAGTGCTTGAATTTCTGCTTGTGCCGTGCATATTTGCCTTGGTCTCAATTGGTTTGCACTTATCAGCGAGACATTCAATAGTAATTGAAATCTATCATCAATATCATCAAAGAATTCATGTTAGACACCATTTCTCTCGCCATCCTCAACTGTTCGATTTCAATGCTTGAAGTTCTGCTGTTGCCGTGCGTTTTTACCTTGATCTCAATTGATTTTGTACTTATCAGTGAAACGCTTAATAGTATGACGGGGGAATTGCAATCAGTCTCTGTCGAACGGCTTTTCCACCTCGCAAACAGCTTTCAACATGGATACAAGGAGCAAGACATTACGCCAACCTTGATGAGGCCATCTGCACTGGCGCTCCGTCCCCCTGGTCATTCCGATCGATAGACGTCTCTGAAAAAACTTTCCGACAGCCTTCATGACATATTCAAGCAGCGGGGCACATTGTTTGATCTGGATGAGGCCCTGAAGCTCCATCGAGCTGTACTGGTGCTCGCTCCTCCTGGTCACCCCGATCAATTCGATTTTCTCCACCACCTTGCCAACAGTCTTCGAGCTATATTTGAGCAGCGAGGCGCCTTGTCTGACCTTGATGAGGCCATCAAACTCCATCGAGCTGCACTGACACGTCCCTCTGGGAATTATGCTCGATCTGTATCTCTCAACAACCTTGACATCACCATTTTTTTGCAAATCGAGCAGCAGTACACTTCATCTGGCCTTGATGAAGCAATTGTGACTCACGGAGATCTGGTGGATGTCATCACTCATGCAAATCGGCCTTAGTTCTACGATTCTACAACTGTTCGCGGGGCCGGAAACATAAGTTGTGGTGCTCCGATCGGATTGTTAGCCCCAGGAGGGCGCATCCATAACGCAGTTCTCGTCTTTGCATTGCAGACTTGCAACAATGAATAACTCAAGTGTGGATGCAAAGCTGAACGCATTGAGCAAAAAGACCATTGTCCCATCGAGTGGGTAATGGTGGTCCACAGGAAATTCTCCCTGAAAGGAAGATGTACGCAGTGGAAACAACTCGAGGACACTTTCAAAGTGGCACGCGACAACCATATAAATACTGTTTCGGTGACCTTCATCCTCTATCTCTTGCCAACTGTACCTGCTACCACTGCGAACGCATACACTTCCTCACAACATTTTAATCAATTATCTGCTGACCCAGGTACGTGTATTCAACACACCTACGCTTTCTAACTATATTTATTTCTTAACTTCAGATGACCCAGTCCACCTCCCACCCCTCCTCATCGTACGGTTTCAAGTTTTCCAGTGCAATGCAGACGCATGCTGCGGCTCCACCATACGCGCCCGTCGGTCAAAAGCACTTCGCAGAAGACCTCGAAGACAGCGAGACCAAGCGAATCAAAATGGGCTCTGGCGACATAAATAACGACCCGTATTTTGTGAGTTTTCTTTTAACCTTGTGAGGTCGAATTCTTAATCCTTGGGACAGAAACCTGTGTTAGATCAATATGGTCAACATGATGGGACATACGTGTGCTCTAAGGATGGTATGGTAGTCCGTCCTGGCAGTCACATATACGATGTCAAGACAGCAAAACATCTTTGTTGCGGGCTCGTGCTACTCCAATGCCCTCTGTCTCCGGAAACGTGCGTATGCCCACCCTTGAATAAGCGTGTCTCATTGTTGTATGATTAGTTGTACCCGACGTGGTGTCTGCAAGAGGCATTGGGATGACGGCTGTAGAAAGCTAGCAGCTGAGGGTACTCCCCCATACTCAGCCACTTACCAAGGTTCCATGGGTTCTGCTTCTGCTTCGTCTGTGGGTGTACCCACTGCGGCATTCACGTTCAGTTTACCTACAACCGCCACGACGACGCCCGATACCTCACCACCGGAGACTATACTGACGGAGGCCACCGAACACGCCGAGTCTTGGGCGGCTAATGAAGTACAGGACCTTGCTTTAGTGGCACCCGTGCTTCCCCCATCTCGAGTACTAGAGAGTACATTCGCAGAGGGCCATGGAGACCTTGACTTTTGGAGGGGGATTGATGATATAGAGGACTTTGTGGATCCTGTCCTTCCCATCTCTGAGCCTCCGTCCTTTATGTTACCAGCGACCATGCTCGCAGTGGCCACCGAAGAACCAGGTGTTTGGAATCTCTTTCATGAGATAGAGGACTTTGTGGATCCTGTCCTTCCCATCTCCGAGCCTTCGACCCCTCTGTTGCCAGAGACCATGATCGCAGAGGCCATCGAAGACCCAGCTGTTTGGAATCTCATCAATGAGATAGAGGAGTCTGTGGATCCCGATCTTCCTCTGTGCGAGTCTTTCACAGATGCCGCTGAAGACCCTGATTTTTGCCGCTTTCCAATCAGGACCCTTTTTATAAGTTCTTGGCTAAATAATTCTTAGGGAGCGCTTTACACCAACGATCCCCCTCTGAATTAGAATCTCTCTCCTGCCCTCATCGACCATAAAATGTAGAGTTGATCACTTCTTTACTACTATCCACTATCCTTTCGATGTTTTGCTACCTGCTGTCACCAATTCATGTATAACACCATACATTCTTTCATACTCTGTGGCACAGCGCACTACCTCTTCATTCTCACTATTACTATTACTGTTGTTGTTATCATTATGGTAAAATATACACATTACTTTGATCTTGTATATACGCACTGGAAGATGTCCCCTACGCTCCCCCCTTGCACAAATGCACAAAGAACATACTGCTACTGGTACTCGGAATATCAAATGAATTGCAAAAGACCCTACAGTGGACAATATCATGTGAGGGAATGCGAAACAACAGTATGATAATATGGAAGGTAATCCTACAGTCGACAGGTGCTACACGGAGACCGAGATGAAAGAGGATAAAAATCAACAACTTGAAAACCCATACCAGATGAAAGCAATACGGCAGGAACTACACACCAACATGAATGAAAACCATCCCCTGCTCGAGCGGCACTTTCCTCTTCACGGCGTGAGATTGGTGCTTTAATTTCAGGTCTTGCTGGAGAACGTTGACGATGGGTAGCATGATCTCGTCCCAAATTGTCCGCAAGAGTACTATTAAATCCGTCCTCGACTCTGCTGGGTTCATCCAAGATGCCTGTCGTATTGCCCTAGTGAAGCGATCCTTAAGATCCTTCAGATCTGTAAGAGTGACAGACGGCAAGGGAACATGATGTCTCCTGACGTCGGGACGATGTTGGCGCTGCACGAGCATTGACTGGCAATGAGGATGATGACTGGGCCATGACGCGCTGCCGCTTGCAAGTCTTCATATGAAGGTGGCAGCAGGAACCGCGAGAAACCTCGAAGATTACGGATTTCAGCTACCATTACTCTCCTCGATCTGTGCTGAGCGTGGAACCTTGAGCCTCGGACAGACACTTGCTGAGCTCCGAGAACATGTGAGCTAGGTTGGGATTTGTGGACTCGAGGTCTTCAAGTGGACTCCTCAGGCGAGAGGCCAACGACCACTGTTGGCCACGGCCCTGTTCCACGAGTTCGACTGCGCGTCGTAGATTGTCATGCAAGATGGCACATGTTGCCGCATCTACAGGCAGTGATCTGGCACCACTGAATGCAGCAGCAGCTTCACGCCTTGAAATTGTCGATGATCGTGTTGCCAAGTGACGGTCAAGAAGTTCGAAAAATGTTGTGTAGGACTCCAGCACAGATAGGGGACTGTGCTGCTCTGCTGCGATAATCCAGTTCCAGGCTGTCATAATGCGCTCTGGAAAGCCTTGCGTGGGATGTTGTGATGCCACTCTGTAGTTCTCTACAGCGAGCGACAAATCAGCAGACTTGCGCCGCACTCTGTAACTTACTGCAACCACGGGTAGCTGAAATATTTGTCTGGGTGCAGTGAAGGCAAAACCTCCAACGATTCTTGGCATAGTCGAATGGCCCCCTCGACATCTTCATTTTTCTGGGTTTGAGCGAAACGAGAGCAGAGCGCCGAGCTCAATCTGTAAAGAGCTTGATGGTGAAATGGCCATGCGGCCTTAACTGAAGTGGATCCCAGCACAGGTCAATGGCCTCGCTGGGATCTTCGCTGACATTCAATTTGTTATATCTAGTATTGAGCGCGAGGGCAAGGTTGTTGAGTGTGTAATCACAATATAGATTCCCAGGCGGGCGCAACATCAGTGCCTCGTGATGGAGGCTGAAGTGCTGATGGCTCCGTTGATATCATTCACATCACCGCGTTTGTTGAAACGGGTGAAGAGGGCGACTCCTAGGTTGTCCAATGAGAAGTCACAAGATTCGTGTCCAACAGGGCACAGGCGCAGCGCTTCTTTGTACAGAGAGATGGCCTCGTTGAGATCATGATATTTGTCTTGGCAATTGAAGCAGGTCCAGAGTGACAAGGCTGTTATTCAGGTACAAATCGCGTTCAGAATGTCCCTCAGAGCATAGAGAAATGGCTTTACAACCACATTGTATACACTCTTCTAGATTACCAATACTGCTGCGTTGTTCAAAACGTGAACCGAGGGCCCATGCAAGATTATCTAGTGCTTTTGGACAGTGCTCATTGCCCAGAGGACAGAGCTTGAGTACGACTCGTCGAAGGTGGATGTCTTCATCAGATGCGTCTATTGGAAGATTGTTGCATTCGCAGATTACAAAATCAATGCCATCTGCCCCCGCCGCAATGCTACGAAGGTAGGTGCCCTCTGGACAGAGGGGCAGTAGCTTGCAGGACAGTTGCGCGGATTCATGGATATAGACGGCGGTGAAGTTCTCCTGTTTGTAGCGCAAGATCAACGCGTCAATGAGATGATAGATGGATAATGCGTGATTGGGATGGCCCTGCGGACGCAATGCAAGGGCTCCACGGAAGAGAGAAGTTATACAGTCGATGGCTTGAAGATCCTTTTGAATGTAGCATCGAAGGCGGGCCCACGCAAGGTCGGTGAGAGCCCCTGCGTGGTCAGGATGGCCGATCGGACATTGGTCCAGGACCAACTGAAAATGCTGTACGGCATCATTCAGGTGTGAGACCGTCTTGCTTGTCACATATGTGGCAAATCGTTCATGGCCCGCATCCGTGTCTCGAGCAATCTCACTTTCAACGATGGACTACACCAGGTGTTCCGTCAAGAAATGCCAACAACACAGAGGCTGATGTCACTCACGTTAAGTAGTGCGCCGTCCTGATTGTCGCAAGAAAGTAGAACGGTGGCCTTCAGTGTGAGGGAAGGGTGAACACCATAAACGGGCGGGAACGAGATGTCTGCAACATGTGAGTATATACGCATGAATGAGAAGCATGTTGCTCACCGAAAGGCTCATCTCCACGGTCGAGCAGTACATCCCATGACGTCTCAAGTTTTCCAACGACCTCTCCACTGCCCAATATCCGATCGAACTCGAAGGATGCCCTGATCTCCGCCGATAGTTCGGGTGATATGTCTAATAATCTACAAGCGGAAGATCAGTCATCAAGTCGCATCCGAAAATCGCCATGCACTGTACAGGGTCACGGCATCGCCCCACGCTACTGATTCGTCGGATGATAGAACTCTGGTGGCTGATTTCCAGCGTCTCCTCGAGTCAACATTGATGGATATGTAAATGCCGGCGGAAATGCGCTTGGAGGAAACTTGAAGATTTTTTCCACCGATAACTGTGGATAGGGCTAGTGAGGATACGAAACAGATGCGAAAGTGATGGAGCGACTCACCTTCGAGATTGATATATTGGCCTTCTGAGCTACCGAGCATGATGGTGTGTTAAAGGAAAACGACAAGAATCGAGGATGGACTGGGTGGTGGACAGAATAAGTGGTACGAGAAGACGTGAGTGGGGAAATGGGGGGCTGTGCATGAAGTTGAGGTGAGAGGGTTCAGGTGATGCCGCACGTGTACTTCCATGTTGTTCTATGGCAGTTCGGCATTAGCACGATAGACGCTCGTATGATTGCACTAAGCGCTGAGGCTAAAAGATCGCCAGCTAACAGCAAAATGCCATGGATCAGCGAAAGTGGCATCCCAAGGACACTGTGCAAGTCTCAGAACGTCCTGTGCTGTAGGCTCTACTCTCATAGTGGTTGTCTGAGACGTAGTATGATCATCACCACATTGCACAAGGCTGAGGTAGAATTGTAGAATTCAGTGTATTTCATGGTGCAAACAGTACAAACCACTAAAAACGACGGGGGCAGGTGAAATTGACGCTATGCGCACTGAAAAGCTGATCCGTTCTATACGAGTCCATGCCAAGGGGGAAGGATGACCGAACTAGCTAGAAACAAAGGCAACAGCTTGCATGGCAAGTCGAATGCAAGAACTACACGATGGGACTTAGCCACACTCAAGCTCGGTCCTTGAGATGGACATAAAGGATATATTGACTCTCATTAGCATAGGAAATAAAAACGGAACCTCAACGAACCTGTATACGGCTGTGCAGTGTATTCCCCAGAGTTCCCCAGGTTGTGGCAACCATCAATGAAGCGAAGGAAACACAGCCGCTTATTATGTAATTATTCTTGAAGCTTGAAGCGGGGTTCTCATATTCTGAAATGACATGCTCAGTGTGCTGCAATTTCAGGAGGACTTGGAGGATCCAGGCTACCGCCACGTTCTGGATTCAGCTAATGCGGCAATTTTAGTTGCGACTGGCGTTGAAGAAGAGAAGTCCTCGTGGAGTTCACGGCTTCAAGTTCATGCTCAATTTCGGTGAATAGTGGGTCTAGGGTCACCAGTCTACGGTGACCAGATGCACAAAGTGCGTTTTTTCTTTTTTTAGCCAGTCCACCTCGTTCATGTAGATCGCAACACAGTAATCTCGACCAAGTGTGCGAGAGGCTCTGTGGTGAGCGTACGTACTATGGGTTGACCCTTACCCGGTTTTGATGCCCTGCAAGTAAACTGGAAACTTGGAATAACAAGTCGACTGCCATATACTCAGCAGCCTGAGAGAATGTGTAGAAAGACAAACCAGTCTCTTCTTTTATCTCCACATCACCCCAATAAGCACCCCCCATTCCCGTCCCACTCTGTTACTTCTGCTCGAGGGGACCATCGCGCGATTAATTAATATTCCTCTGCGAACCTAGTATGAGTCCCGAGGCAGACGGAGGTAAGTGGGGATTCCTTTGTATATTATGGCGAGCGCCAGATAACCCGAGTGTTCGATCCACTTCGTTTGACTTACATTGCCATTAGATTGCTCCTGGTTATCCTCACGCAACCACTGGCAATACTCGCTAGGTTGTCGATGAAATTTGCCGTCGTAGGGTCTGGCGTTTCTAGCTTAGCTACGACATGGGTACGTTCATGCTATGATAATTGCTGCAATGTAACGATCGTTAACCTGGTGCCCATAGAATTCATCCCAAGTTCTAAACCAACATAGTCTTCATGAAGTGTATCTGTACGAAGTCGAAGGTTGTGCGGGAGGACACACGAATACGATTGTATATATACATCCAGATAAATCAGACGGGTACGCAGTTGATGTGGACACGTAAGCGCCCTTTCGCTCTAGTTGTCTGGATTCTAATTAATCCGTTGATACCAGAGGATTCGTACTTCCTGGTCTTTTCACTTTCTCGCATCTCGCACCGTATGATTAATCATCTACGTAACGTGGAGATTATCTTCAACCCGACCACATATCCCGATTTCTCTAGCGCATATTCGCGATTCGCGTTCTTCAAACTGAGTTGACGTTCAGGGTCTGCAGAGACTCGGACATTTTTGAATGTGCTGCAAAAGTTTGGCAACCTCGTTCTGCCAGTCATCACGTCTTCTAGATCCCGACATGTGGCGATTAATCTATGATGTGCTCGGGTTCAGTGCCTGTGCACGACGCCTCGTCTCTAACAAGGCCTCTTCCGACGATCCAGACTTGTCTGTACCTTGACCAAGAAGGATACTTTGCATCTTTCCAGAACAATTTTATTGTATCGCGTATTTATTTAACGAGAATGAGAACTATCATTGACAGTTTCTGCAGCTTATGACAACTACAATATGTAGTACAACCGCCTGAGAAGTGCCTTATGAACATCCCTGCTCGGACTTTGGTAATTTCGTTGTATATTAGGTCGAATTGACAGTCATTGTTTACAGGTACGATTCATGAGTAATCATCACCTTTCACAGATTACGGGTAAGCCGTCGTGCCTTACTATTGAAGGTGGCGGGTAATGCAATTTTATAATAGGGGCTATTGAGTCTGACTGCATTCGCTAGTCGCAACTGCGTTGATGCGATATTGTCAAAACTTCCTAAGGAAAGGGTACACTTGTCGTCTCCGGTCACAACGATATGCGGACCAATCCAAGGCGAAGGCCGTCATGCCGTCCTGCTGAAGACGCATAACCAGATGCTGTCAAAGTGTACGTCTGGGTTATTCTAGCATGTCATTCGGACGCATGCACGACAATTCTGAAAGGCGGACGCGATCTTCGTGATGACCAGGAAGACATCCTCGAAAGGTTCGAATGGAATGCAGATATCGTAGTTCTGCAGTGACATTATTGTCGGTGTTCTTGCACTTTCACATCACGTCCGACCGTTCATGCACCTCTCCAGTTAATGCCAAAAGCCAGGACTGCGTGGTCTTGCTGGAACTACCTCACATTCTGCAGCTCGAACGACAAGGGTAAACACAAAGCTAACATAAACAAAGTCGCGCTGTAATTTTTTACCCTTATCGTTAAAATTTTATTTTCCATTCTAAAATCTGCATTACAGCCGCGATGGAATTCCGCACCGTCATCTTCAACGGTACAAATGAACGGCATCTTTGAGACTACATGAACGAGTTGCAGCATCTGCCAAAGGATCTTCACGGCCCGATGCTGGCCACCCTAAACCCACCAACCGATTCAAACGTCACTAAACCTGCTGCGCGATTCGCCTACGAGCGCCCCATCCTCGACACCAAGGTGCGTTTCGTTACGTCTTGATGCCCATTACCCATTCATCAACATACGCGCATCCCCCTGTTTTCAAGCGATCATCGCTCGGAAGGCAATGACGAACATTCAGGGCCGTGGCGGTGTCTTGTTCGCGGGAGCGTGGCTTGGGTATGGAGTTCACGAGGACGGGTTTACGTCCGATCTGCGCGCCGTTGTAGAGCCTATCGATGGCGTTTAGCTTTCATTTGATGTAGCTGGTGCTGATCGCGAACCTTGCGTACCTTTGTTGCTCCGCTCTTTGGCAGCTTGGAAATTACTGGTATATGTGCTGTAGTTGGCACAGCTTTAACATTGGCGCTCCTCATCGTGCAGTCATGACAAAAGCTCTTTCATATACAATAGTAGTTTAGAGACGCGTATATCTATACATGTTCAAGCCATTAATGCTACATTGACGACAAGTTATGAGAATGCGATGTGATGCGAAAGCGATATCCAAGTGATTTCGACGAGGTGACCCAGACAATTTAAAAAACGCACAACGAGATATATACGATATATTAATCTTCAGACGCACGTCTTATTTGAGTGAGGCCGAATGTGACTTTCCCTCTCGACTCCGAGCCATCGGCGGTAGACGGTTCGCTAGAACTGCCCTGGGGCGTCTGTTCAAGTGTCATCCTAGGAGTCGTGGCACCACTCCGAGGCTCTTCGTCGACGAACCGGACCGACCGAGTAGGCGAGACATCACGGGAGTTATGTTCGCTTGTCTTCAGAGACTCCAACCGTCGGTGCTGGATGGAGCGACGGCAAGTGTGCCCTGATCCCTGACGTTGAGGTGCGTGGCTTCTCCCACGTTGGTCTTCATCTTCAAACGGTACGATCTCACTTGGCTCACTCGTAAAGACGGACGGTGGGTCCTGCTCCAGAAGCTGCCTAGCATGGCTCGAGAACGTTCCGCCATCTCCCGTTGATTGTCTTCGTCGATGACTCCTTGCACTTCTGGCAGCTGCAGAATGGGTTCCGCTCTTCGTTTTCCATGATTTTGGACGCTTCTTGTGATCGCCAGGCAGCTCCCCCAACGGGTACGTAGACCCGTCGCCATCTCCGCTTTTGTCTGACGACCATCCTTCTTCGTCTTCATCACCTTCAGCACATGCGCCCGTGTTTTCATCACTTGATCCACCGATTTGAAAAACTTCTTGGACTTTTGATTCTAATGCATGTATATCATGCTTGACATTTTCTTCGACGTGTTCAACTTCCCGATGTATATCTTCAGGCGCATGATGTAACTTGCGAAGATACGCGCGACCTGCTTGTAAGGCGCCACTTTCTCCTACAGAAAACCGGGAGTGCACGACCCGTTCCGAAGGTTTGAATGCGTTATAAATGACTTCCACATCGACCTGTAGACGACGTCAGCATCACCATTAGTACTGTCAATCAACCCACGCACCTCCTCACCAGGACCACCTCGTCGCTCGATAATTTTATGCGGGCCTTCCTTCCACTCCGCCGCCGTCTCCTTTCCATCAGGTGGTGTCTCCTCCTTCATCTCTTCCTCATCCTTTGCCAGCGCAGCTTCCGCACGCGTCTCCGCACTGCTCACCTCGCCGACCTGTTCTGTCTCGTCGGGCGACAGCGGCGACGCAGTGATCGTGCTTGCGCGCTTGCTCTCCAGTGCAGACTTCTCTTCTTCCGTCAGTCCGCCCTCGCCACGCTCGAGTCCAGTAGGATCACGGTTAATGATGACGTCTTCCGCACGTGTAACGTGTCGTGTATGCGTTGCCCAGTCGGGCACGTTGGATGAGGCATGGCGGGACCACGTACGAGACCCAACTGAATGCACGCGACGGCCTAGGAGTGAGAATGGGATGGACAGACCGTGAATAGCAACACTGCAGAGTACCATGAATGCAACGATGGGTTGAATGGCAAGTGCCAGAAATTCAGTCTGGTTAGTTGGAGGGTTGCTAGGTTTTGGTAGCCGCTGGGCTGCTAGTGTGGAAATATATATAGCACCTGGAATGGTAACACACGTCATATCAGTATGTTGCAAGGATCATGTTAGATATACCACGCACCAATGCCTATGGGCCCGAAATGGCCACTGAAAACGGCTTCCCGGAAAGTCTTTACGTCGGGTATGAACTTGTAGAGCGCAATCATGACCGGCAACCTTTTTAACATCAACACTAAAATGGCAATAACGATGAGCCTCCACACGCTAAGTGAGAGGGTTTCGTTATTGAAACTGTCGAACGGCATCCAGGCGCCGACATAAACGAAGGCAGCGACATTGAATAACAAGTCGATAACGGAACTGAACACTGATTCCTCTGTCTGGCGATTGAAGAAACCGTCCCAAGCAAATGCCGTTCCGCAACAGAATGCTGCCAGGAGATCATCAGAACCTAGGATAGTCATGATGCCGATGGTGAGCAAAGCCAGGGATATGTACTGTGCAACGTAGGACTGGCGATCGACGAAGTCATTGCGCTGGCAGAATTTCATGAGGTGCCGGAAACCCCATCCTATTAAGGCGCCAACGACCACACCTAGGATGACCTGATCTGTTATAACGGAATCAGGTGAAGAACTGTCACTGTATTTTTTATCTCACAGAGCCAGAGTAGAAGGAACCAATCTTCAACTGCACGACTGGTAGTGGAGTCCAATATGAGATACAATGCGATGTACAGGAAGGGATAGGCTGCTCCATCGTTGCAACCGCTTTCCGCTGCGAGAAGATGGCGAAGATGAGCGGGGACGTGCTTGTCGGCATATTTGCCACCGACAACTGCAGCAGCAAGGATCGGATCAGTTGGGGTCAAGCATGCAGCGACAGCAAGGCTTGACAAGAATGTGAGGTCAGGTATGAGAGCATAGATCAAGCCTTGCCGACACAAACCAACCCTGGTGATGGTTAGAGAATGGGTGAAAGACATGTTCAAGATGTTACCCACCCATGTCATGACAGGAAATAGAAGGTATAATAAACTTTTCCAGTGACGCTTCATATAAGCTTTTGGAAGCTCGACGCCGATTGCGAAGACTCCAATTGCAAGGACAACACGAGTGAACTCTAGTGTGATTTGATTCACGGTATCCTCAGAATTGCCACTGCCCCAGCTACGAGGATCAAATATGCCGGCACCATAAGGACCTAAAAATAAAAAAGTTAAGGCAACGTGATTAGAAGGGTTTGATCCGCTGAGCTCACCGATGATGACGCCGAAGAGAAAAGCCCAGCATGCCTCGCCAATGTAAAGCTATATATAATGAGTATGGGGGTTGATATGATCAGAAATTGTATTACCTTTTCTCGAATGAACAAAGAGAACATGCCAAACTGTAATGGATATTATAATGAGATGCTGCAAAAGTGGAGAGAAGCAGGGTGCACTTACCACAACGACAAAACCTCCGAGGCATGCATAGGCGATGTGCGGTATGGTTAATGAAAGCTAAGAAGATGAATGAGCGCTGCAACAGTCGGGTGCGGGAATAGTGGCTTCGTACCGGCCGGAATAGCATATTGTGTGGTGCCGAAGAGTACTCAACCGAAAAGAAGCTGGATAACGCGTGCAGCTGGACAATGATTATGCCCACTGGAGTTCATAAAATAGGACGTGGCGGGTCGTTGGAGTGAAGATACAAGAAGATAGAGGAGTGTCTACGTAGTACGGCAAGTCGGGGTAGTCTGACCGTAGTAGCCGAGTCTTTATTCCAGGTTATGTCAGCCAATATCTTCGCCAAGCAAGTTGAAAACCAAAGATGCGGCGGGGGACCTGGCAGGTCCATGGAAAACCATCCCATCTTTATAGTCGCAGCGCTCGGCGCGGAACCTACTGACAGTGGGCCGGACAGATGACGGATGTTGCGAGAGAACGCATGTTCAACGTTTGACTTCCCTAATTAATTTTCGGCTCAGGTCACCCCTCGACCCTTCATCCGACGGTTCATAGACTATCCCGCCAATCAGCTTAACTCTGGGCAGTACAGATAAGCCGATAACAATCACAATTGGAGCCACGGAGCGCCAGTTTCCTGCAACACGGGACTACTCTTATATGTCTACTTATGTATGTGGCTAAAAAATTTTGAATTGAAGATCCAGGAATGGAAATTCACCTCCACCCCCGCCGCTTAAAGGCGGTACCTACGTATAATTTGAGTAACATCGTTGCACGGTTCGTCAGCCATGACTTCACAGGTGGAGTCTCCTGTCAACGGCTATCGTGTTCGGACTCTCCAGAGGCATTATCGACTTGCATGCCTACACCCCCCGCCACCGTAGGATGCCACAAATTCACCTATGATTGGCAGGTTAGACATTCAAGATCTGCAGCTGACAAGTTTCAAGTTGAACCTATCCTCGATCGTATATATTTCGGTCTTTCGGAGGTCCCAGGTCCCTACACAGTACACCCTTATTGCCAAGCACTCAGCAAGCAAGCTCGTGACCTGCTCTATTCCCTGACTCAGGGACTATCTTACTCACTTAGTACCCTGACATCCACTTATCCGCACTTAGTTAAATTTTCCGCCTCCTCGTTACGAAGGCTGTTCGGAGATTCGCCTTATGTGTTCCCGATGTTTTACATAAAACGCTCTGGCGTCTGGCTGCGTGTTACTCCGGTGTGTTATCTCGATAATTACCGCCAGTACTACATATAATCTGATATGGAGCTGCTTATGAATATGGGGTCCATAATGAGGACGCCGGACGGCTCTGCCGCAGAAACACCGGAAACTTTATCATTGGCTTATCGGCCAAATGCTGTTCATCCTATTATGACGCTTGCCACCGCTCCAAACCTATATCACCGTGTAATATCAACCAAGTGCGAGTTTCATTTCGAGTCCCTGCGGCTTATGCGTTTGCACATCATTGAGAAAGGGGTAACCCTACTGCGGCATCGTTTCGCGCATTCATGTCAAGTGTGATCAATATTGCCATTGGATTTCAGCTACTGGTGTCCTATATTCGTATACACCATGGCGCGAACCACACACACACTTCCTGAATTCTTTGTTACACCGTTCCTCATGTCCTAGGTGAATTTCGATAGGAATACGCCATTGGGTGAAGGTCATATTGAAATATGAGTGAATCTTAACCTGCGTCATTCATGCACTACTGCTGAGAGCAGAGCTCAAGAAACAGGAGGTATCCACAGAGATGTGACGAAACCAACATGCCTTCTCACCTACCATCTTCGTCCGCAGGCGGTGTTCTTGTGAGTGCAGAGAGCATGTCAGATACCACTCTGCTGGGTACATGCAATTGTGATGGTGTCGGTTAATAATTCTTTGAAGCACACCGTCAAGGTGTTCGATTCGATCATGGGTTCAGGGAATAACTTGCTCGCCAAAGATGAGAAAGTTTAACAACCCAAAATCAAGCATATACTTCAAGCTCAATAAAATGAGACACGGCAATCTTCCCTTGAAGAACAAAGGAAGAGATATCATTTCTTCATATTTCGTTTTGACATACTCTTCTCACTCCGGATCCTGCTCTGTTTACGAGGTGCGATAGCGGCCTTCTTGGCAGCGCCCGTCTTCCTCGTTCGTCCAACGTCCTTCTCCTTGCCACGTACAGGCACACCCTCCTTCGCAAGCGCCATTCTCGCTTTCTTCTTCGCCATCCTCCGCGCAAGCCGGTCAGCGTCCGCTGCTTTGATCTGTTTTCGTTCCTCTTTGGAGAGGGTCGCAATTTTTTCACCCAGAGAGGGATCGCCCTTTGGCACGTCGATGGGTGGAGCTACACCTGCACTGTGACTAGTGGTTGCAGTCTTTGAAGCGGCAGCTTTGTCAGTGGCGGAGCCCTTGGGGAGTATTTTGCAGCGTTGAACGCGTAGTTTGCGCTTTGCAAATTTGAGTTTCGACTCTTCCATTGCAAGAGTTTCGTCCACGCAAACGCGATCCTGAAAATGAATGTTCAGAATATCACCCACAAGTAATAATCAAATACTGACCGTAAATTGCACATATGCGAAGCCCTTCCCAAGTTGAGTCTCCTTATCCCGCACAATTCTGACGCGTGAAACCCAATGCTTGGGTGCATCTGAAGCCTGACTAGGTGGCCCGCGTTCGGCAGTGATAAGACTTTCGAAGAATATCCGCAGATCTTCCTCTTTGCTCGCAAAGTCAAGGTTGCCCACGAAAACCGATGATTTTGGATCTCCCGCAAAAGTACCTAAGAGAGCACTTTGCTTTCCAACGCTATCTGCAGGCCTGCCCAAAGAATCTACACGGATCGTACGGTCCATGAAAACAGTCCCGTTGCACGTCTCGACAGCAAGACGAGCTGCCTCGTGCGGGTCCATGACTGGTAGAAGGGGTGGCAAATTCGAAGGCCGCTCTTTCGGAGGAGGGGGATATGCGAAGACGACGTATGCATTAACTGAATCGGCGCCGGGGTGAAGTTCATGATTGATAAATGCAACTTTTTTTTTCTGACTTGGAGTAAGAAACTTCTTCTCGTCGTTTTTTGGTTCGTCCGCTGTGGGATTAGCTTTGCGCCACGATGATGCACGGTCTAAGCCGTGCTGCCGTGGGTCGGTCTTTTCTTTCCCATCATCCGGAAGTTTACTGGTAGGGTTTTGAAATGCGACGGAGCGGAATCTTGTGGATTCGATTTTTGCGGTAGGCACGAGCGATAGAATGTGTCTATGGAGTTTTTTCTGCAAAGGCTGTCACATGTTCAGTATGCGTTGATGCCATCATCAGCAAGTATTCAATAACTCACTCGTTTCTGAGCGACCTCGGACGGGAGGTTACCCACGAAGATCGTGCGCAAGTTGCGTTGTTCCTCGGACTCATCTGGCGGAGCGAATTTCACCTTGCGCGCGGATGCACGTTGGTTGGACTTTGCACCACCACTGAGCAGCGACTCGTGTACGAGCGTAGATGGTCCACTCTCCTCCTCGGAGTCGGAATTGTCGATAGGTTCAGCCCCTCGGTGTTCAGCGCTGCTGCCCTCCACGGCTGAGATCGCCTTTAATTTTTCTTGAGATTCTAATTTCCGCTTGTCGACTTTTTCTTTCTTGTTCTCCCGCAGCTTGACGCGTTTTGGAGGGGAATCGTGTTTTTGCGACTCTTTGAGTGCGGACTTGTGCTTTTTCAAACTATGTCTCTGCTCTCCCTCCGGTTTACGCTTCTTGTCATTGGACGCTGCAGTGCTGCCATCATCTTGGACCTTATGAGCCAATATAATTCAACGTGGACCACCGTAAAACAAAAAAGGGTGACGTACCTGAGTATGAAAAAGGGCATCTAATTCCGTGTCAATAACTTTTTGGTTGCTCGTAGCTTTCCCTCCGAGTAAAAATGATGAGAGACTCATGATTGAGTACTCAGTACTGAGTGAAGGAATGTACTCGAATGACGCTGAGATCAAGTTGTAGATGGGGAGTGTCGGAGGTCCTGGTGCCAGATGGAGTGGCGCCCAATTCAGCGATTCGCCCTTCTAAAAATCAAACTACTCATCCGAGCCTGCCGTGAGCTGCCGTGGCGGTGTTCTAAGTACAAGAGTACGACGTATTACGTAACCTGGACCAAGTACTAGTAAGCCTTCGAGGTACTCTCCCTGTTTCTCGTCTTTCCTTAGTTGTTTTGACAGTCTTGTAACAGTTTTTTTGTGTGCAAAATTCATGTTCGGGGCCCGGGCTACCCAACCATACCATCCAACTTCCAGTGCAGAGTGATGCGCCACCGCTTGTGTTTGCAGCCTCAGGCATTGATATACCATTCTGCCAGGATGTTGAACTTTGGGAAGTAAGAATCGAATCTGAAGTTTGGGTACGTTGTGCAGCTCTGACAATACCTAGGTCGATTTTTTATACATCTTTGTGTGTATCAAATACAGAGGACTAGTGGAAACTCTGGAAAGCTCCAGATAGGAGTATGGCTGGAAAAATACCAATACCGCTCTGAACACTCAGATGAAGAGTGGCAATGCTGATGAAATATACTGAAGGCCTAGGATGTGGACCTGAAATGCAACTTTGACTGCATTTAAGTCTTGCGGGGGCACACAGATGCTGTAACAGCCAGATCCTTATCGCATCCACTGAAGCGAAAGCACTCTGACCTCGTTGTCAGGTCTGTCTTGTGCCAGAGTGTCCTCATCAGTCATGAGGTTCTTGGACTCGAGATTCACAGTTTCCAATGGCAATGGATTGAACAGACGAGGGCCTGTGATTTCGCCTCAACCACCCCAATGCTGTTTCCGGTTGTCTGAATGCGATAATACAGACATAACGTTCACGCCAAGGACACTGCTCTTCCTGTAAGAGTCCTTGCCTAACTAGTAATGCATCAACATTTGAGATTCCGCTATCGCTCTGAAAATTGATGGATGCTATGCCGTGGATTCCGATCACTTGTCAGTAAGATGCATATCTGGTTTAATTTTAGGTGATGATGTCAGGCGAGGTTGATAACAAATCTTGAATGTTTCAACTTTGCAAACTCGGATGAATATTCAGTCAACTAGGTTCTATGAGTGACCACCTGATTTCGAAGACCCTACGTATCCGGTATGCTTCTGATTTATATCAATTGGTTGATGGAGTTTACTTGCCAATCCAGGACGATCGTGCACCATGTATATGATTGATGCTTGCCCTCCAGTTCCCTGACATCAATCAGCCTCGCGCCCGTAATATGCCAGGCTATTCCAAGATTGAAGGTTGTTGTATCCAGGCTAACGAAGACAGGTATCGCTATGTCTGGATAGACACTTGCTGCATCAATAAGAGCAGCAGCTCTGAACTCTCTGAAGCAATCAACTCGATGTTCATGTGGTACAAGAAGGCCCAGATCTGCTACACATATCTGGACGACGTGTCCAGATGTGACACTTTGCTGGAAGAGTTTTCCAATAGCCAATGGTTTAGAAGAGGGTGGACTCTCCAGGAGCTCATTGCCCCCAACAATGTCGTATTTTTTTCGTGCGATTGGGAGGAGATAGGAAGTAAATCTAGCTTCGCTCCCTTGATCGAACAGATCACGGGGATTGACCGTGGTGTCCTACTTATGAACTACCCGGAAGAGGTCAGTGTAGCGACAAGGATGTCCTGGGCTGCAGGAAGGCAGACGACGGGGGTAGAGGATCAGGCATATTTGCTGCTTGGTTTGTTTGGGGTATACATGCCTACGATATACAGAGAAGGAGAAAAAGCATTCGTCAGACTTCAGGTCGAAATCATGAAGAGCTCCAATGTCACAACCCTTATAACGAATTAACGCAGGGGCAGAGACTAGGACTCAAACAAGGTTATCACAACAAGAGAATAGAGGATAGCAGGTACGTCTTAGGATTGCTAGCAGTAAGCTAATACAAAAGAGGTTTGAACTAAAGAACT